GCTATGTCAGACCAACCTCCCGAAACACTTAGTTACTTGAGTGAGATTTTTCTGCCAGAATGATTATCTCTCTACTGTCAGCAATGCACAGAAGTTTGCTCCCCTGGGGATGTCTTTGCGGAGACACGGTGTTTTGACACACCAGCATTCTTGTGCAATTGACTGACGAGTAAAGTGACAATCATTCTGGCAGAAAAATCTCACTCAAGTAACTAAGTGTTTCGGGAGGTTGGTCTGACATAGCAAGAGTGTCACAAAGTGTTTGGATGAAGTTAAGTGTAAAAGTCCAAGCATTGGAACAGTGTGACATGGTTCAATGTAGCTAGTATGAGTGTGGTGGCTAAGGTCAAAGGTCAGGATCCCCAGGATCCCCATATACTAAGTTTTTTGGCGGGAAAACTTTAATCTAATTAACTCTCTACTCGGGGGTCCCCATTATCCTAGGTGTTTTTTGACCAGCAGAATTTTGGCAAAAAAATTACAGTATATATACACAATTCACTAGGTTCAAAGTGACAATTTTGGGGAATTAGGATAATTACGTGTAGGATAACTGAGGGTCCCCATTAGCCCATTTTTGTTTTCTTGGCAGGAAAATATAAGTGTAAGGGTCCAAAGTGACGCTTTGCAATGAATTTGGGAATACAAATAATGTGGATTTGAAATGGCCAATTACATTTTGCGACAACGGTGAACAGCTTCTCACGAAAAAGGCATCCAGACCCTCAAAGTAGAGTGACTGAGAGAAATGTGAGTTCAAGTGAGTGCACATGTGTGCACCTGAAAGCATGTGGAGTGTTGTCTTGTGTTAACAAAGAAACCATACTCACACCTCCCCATCTTCTTTCACGCAGCCCTGCCTACAAAAGTCCTCCTGCTGCAGTCCAGTCTCCGGGTTCACACCTTAAAGACAGAGAAACAAAAGTCACTTTATTGACAACAGGAATTGTCCTTATACTAATGCAAGATATTATATCACACTATATGCAAATTTATGACAGATTGTAGCTAAATGTTTAAAGGTCCAAAGCACTGCAAAAAGAATCCATAAAGTGTGACATGCTGTATCTCAAATGACTCAAAGTGCAATGTGGGACCAAGGAGGTTATACTGGAGACACTATAATTAACTTCTTTCGTATAAGTTAATTGTTTGAAGATGTGAAAAGGACTCTAAAAAAGTGTGACATACTGTGTAATTTTAAAAAAGCAGTAAAAGCTTTAGTGACTGGATGATTGGATTTTAGGATAGAAATATATTAGCCTCTTGTTGCTGAACAAATGAACTATACTCACAAGTTACAAGTGTGCCCACTGTCTTCTCTCACTGCTTTGCTGTCTTCATTTCCTTCTGCATCTTCAAGTCAACTAGTTTGCTGTCAAAGCCATCATAGCAGGTTTCTCCCAGACTGGACAGCCAGCACACACCTATAAAAAGTAATATAAAAGGATGTGTTAAGGAAAAACATCCCCAGGCAACACCGAATAGACAAACTAATGATAGCATCATGCAGTTCAACTATCCCATTGATTGAATAGATTTTGAAAGAGTTAGGCTCTAAAAAACTGCTTTTAAAAGTGCTGTACTTGTAGCATGTTACACCTTAGAGTTCTTATTGATAATAACATGTGGGACAAGGAATAAGTCATGTAAGTTGTCAAGCAAGTTGCTTGAATTGATGCACAAAAAGTTAGTATTAGGCTTTTCAAAGTGTTACTAATAGCAATAAGTTACTAACAGTTTTTATATACATCCAAATAGAAAAGAAAAAAATCTGTGACATTGTTGTTAAGTATTGTCTCACCTGCATGGACAGGTACAGACTCTGTGTCTTCAGGTCAACTGGTTTGCTGAGCCGTCATCACAGGTTTCTCCCAGTCAGGACAGGATCACCAGGACACACCTAACTAATATAAAGAATAATTAGTGTGGTGCTCCCCCCAAAATTTCCAGGCAACTAGGTGACTATGAAAGTGACAAAATCCTGCAATTTAACTACCAGTATTTAACTACCAGTATACAATATGTACACAGTGTTAAAAGTAGCTTGTTATGCCTCTGAGTTCTTAACACAGAGAAAAAATAAAGTTGAAAGCATTGTCTCACCTGTACAAACTCTTCACTCTGTCGTCAACTTCAAGCTGTCTCATCTAGCCTGGTTTGGACAGGAACATCAAGACTGCTTACCCTAACTATAACTACATAATCATAAAAGAACAATTAATGCCAGGTACATGGGTAACTAGCTACCAGGTAAAGATGATTTCTTGTATGCGACCTTTTACTTTGCCTCTTCTTAGAAACGTTGACAAGTGCTCAAGAAATGTAATATACTTAGTGTAGTAATTTATTCAAGTCAAAGGCAATACAATATTTATGTGAAAGATGTTTTGCTTTGTGTGTTATTTCTATAAAGTGCGAGACATAAGAGAAGAGTGTTATAGTTAAACAGATATTCTAAAGCATTGTCTCACCTGTGGATGTTGTTTTCATCTTGCTCTTGTGTCTCTAAATCACCCGATCAGGTCCAATTTCTCGTCAGGTTCAGACAAGAGTCTTCACTACTGCATCAGTCAGCAGCCACCAAACTATACAGACATTAGAAGTTATACACTTGTCTGCAATAAAGTAAATACAGTAGTAGGTTGAATGCAGAATTCAGATTTTTCTCACCTGAGAGTCATCTTTGGTCTTCAAATCACCTGGTCTGGTCCAATCTTCTCTTGTCAGGATTACGAAGAATTCACCACTACTGCATCAGTCAGCAGCCACCTAACTATACAGAAATTAGAAGTTACACACTTGTCTCAAATAACATCAAATAGCTGTAGTTAAAATGCAGAATTGGGATTTTCTTACCTGATATTCCTCTTCGGTCTTCAAATCAGCTTGCCTTGTCCAATCTGTCTTGTCAGGTTCAGACAGTAGTCTTCAATCCTGTATAAGTCGGCAGCCACCTAACTATGCAGATGTTAAAAGTTACACACTTGTTTCAAATAATACCAAGTAAATGGTAGGTAAAATGCAGAATTGGAATTCTTCTTACCTGATATCCCTCTTGGGTCATCAAATCATCTGGTCTGGTCCAGTCTTTGTCAGGTTCAGACAGAAGTCCTCACTCACTACTGCATCAGTCATCACTTAACTAATATACAGAAATTAGAAGTTAGACACTTGTCTCAAATAATAAAAACTAGCAATGTGCACGCACACACACCTTAAATATCTTTACTTTAAAACAAACGCATATCTCGAACCTCCACGAAAACTCTACATAATGACCATAAAAATGGGGATAGAAACAACAATAAAATAAATCAACCCCCTTCGTGAACTGAAACTTTATGTGGAATACGAAAAAACTCGCAAAATGTTTTGAAAACAGGAATTGCTACCGTCAAGTATAGTTTGCGCCAGAAATACTTGGGCTTGGTCATTACTCTTTACTGAATTACTCTAAAAAGGAAATGAACAAGCTTTTAAATTATACATCATACGGTGCAGATGATAATGAAGAACGACAGTATGATCAACATAACTAGTTTTCAAACGTTTTGTATCGTATTAATTTCGGCGCCTTGAAACTTAGAGGACCCCATCTTGTTTACGCAAATTTTTGGCGATCCTTTTTGGCGGGATCGCAAAAACTAATTATGTAACGTTACACGGCCACATTCCAACAGCTGTTTTGAACCACGTGGAGATAAAGAGAAAAATGGTTTGGTCAATTTCTTTCGACAAATATTAAACCTCAAAACGCTGAACAACTGACTAAAAAGACATGCACGTAGTGACTACTACATTTAACACTCTACAAGCGCACCACACATAGAAAATGTTGTTGAAAACGTGGCAACTTGATGGACTTTTCTATGCCTGTATAAAATTAGGAACGGTCGCTGCCTAATACAGAAATAGTTCATTTCTTACGGAATATCTTGACATGTTCGTACTTGTTGTTATGGAATAATGTCAGCCAATGTACTGGTTTACCTGCAACAATAAGTGAAGTCGTCTCCATACCACGCTAACGTTACTCTTCCTAACTGTCTCGCCATTTTTGTCTTCACCAAAATTCGCCAGGTCAGGAAATCCGCATTTTCTCCTCAAAACATCACCAGAACGGCACAAATCCACAGCACAAACTTCCAGACATCTTAATAAGACATTCTATCGACGAAAACGTCTAAAAGTACCCAGAAAGTTGTGAAAAAATCAGCCCAGAGTACTCTCGTCGTACGAAATCGCCATTTTTGAACGGACCATACCAAACTTGTTTTTACACAGGTGTGCAGAACGTCCGTGCATAATTAATGTTAAGTTGATAATCTAAATACTAGTATGACGACCAATGACGGCCCGTTTTGGTGCCAGGCACTTATATGCGTCGAAGAAATACGATTAGATTACCTAATTACGAAGGACACTAACGTTGATGTCAATCTCGGTAAAAAAAAAATGGATAAAAATGCAGCTACAGGGCACCTTTAAATTAGTATTTCTATCATCACAAATACACGTTTTCAAGGATAAGCTGTTATGTGGCCACAGTATGAAACATAACACTCTTGCCCAATTTTCCTATTCATCAATTTTCGCGGTTTATTCCATGGTAGAATAAACACCTTTCCCACACACGCAAACCTGTCCTTGGTGCTGAACACCTTCCACACACAGGTAAACCTGTCCTTAGTGCTGAACACCTTCCACACACAGGTAAAGCTGTCCTTGGTGCTGAACACCTTCCCCACACAGGTAAACCTGTCCTTGGTCCTGAACACCTTCCCCACACAGGTAAACCTGTCCTTGGTTCCTAACACATTCCACACACAGGTAAACCTGTCCTTGGTACTGAACACCTTCCACACACAAGCAAACCTTGGCTCTGAACACCATCCACACACAGGTAAACCTGTCCTTTATCCAGGTATACATTTTAATTAATGTATACTTTCTAAGTCATAAAGAAAGTCATTTGGCAAAGGTATGAGACCATGGAATTCTAGTTCATTTTGATGTATAATTAATTCGTGTATATTCGGCAAATAACATTTTTAATGATTCTTTACAATCATTTGCCACCAGTGGTCATGGCATGATGCATAGCTCAAAAAATAGCAATGCACATGTACAGAACAAACTAACATTAAAATGCTAAATATACAAGCACCTTCAAAAAGTCTTGCTGTCGACACTACTTAAAAAGTATTTATGTCGAAGCTACTTTGTTCACTAGAAATCAACACTAAATCACATTTCTGGTACATTTGCCTGTATTACAGTTGTAGAATGATAGCGAAAAAGAAACTAATAAAAATACAATACAGCATCTCCACCCTTGATAAATACCATGATATTTAACAAAACATGAAATGATACTTTCCTAATCTAACTTTTACGATTCATAAATTTAACGCCCTAATGATAAAGAATTATGCAACAGCTTAATACACACTTTGGCACATTTCCACCAGCACAAACGAAAACTACTTTGCATACCAGCATAGGTAAATGACTGCGTCAAAAGCATTTGCTTAAATAACTTTGCTAAAGACCACCTGCTCAGCCTACAGGTACAGGTTTAATCATAGCAGCACTGTTATGATTTAAGTTAAGTACAATTTACATTTAAAAGATCATGAGGTACAATTTAAACATTTTGCATGGCACAACACACAATCAAGCCTCCATTATACACAGGCCCTGAGTACAATCATCAACAGTGGATTTGTCCTTTCCATGTGTGGGCAATAAGTGGTAAAAGTTTTCCACAAATCACTGCATTCTTCAAGTGGTGACGCATATTTATATATTGAAATAAACCTAATTCTTCAATCTACACGTATGATGAGTCACACAAAAAGGAAAGCGCTTACTAGTATGTATTTGCTCTAAAAGCTGTGGTCCATAACTTACTTAGAAATGCTGCAAGCCGATACAACGTCCCTACAATAATCTTTTATAAGATATAAAACATCTGTTCTTAGGACAAAAGATCTGTACATGTAGTTATTTCGAAACTCCTGGGCTTCAGAACATTTGTCATAATACAAGTATATCACACCTCTAAATGTTAACAACTTTTGGCAGAAATTGTGCTCAAGTCTTACTAGTACAAAAATCACATCACTTCAAATAGTAATACACTACTGTATTTAGATACATAAAATATGGATTAGCTTCCAAACCACTAATTATGAAGCCAGTCCTGCATCTTTGGCCATTCCATAGAAGATACCCCGTGAGGCAATGAGATCTTGGGGGGTGTCAAACTCGGCTATCCTCCCAGCATCAAGAACAAGCACCCTGAATGGCAGAAGAAAGTACAGTGTATCAATTTTTGTTGAAAGAATTTGTCTGAAAAAAAAAAGAATATGCATGCTCACCTATTAAATGTTATACATCTTTCACATTTCTTCTTAAGATTTTTGAGGAATAAACTTCATGGTTTCATGTATACAGTACTGCACATGTTGTTACTATTGGGTGGGCAGGCTTCTATTACCTTGCAGCCAAGGGCTGAATTGTGAGGAGCTCACAATTGGTAGGGCTGAAATGAAAAGGCCTAGAGTCTTGCAACCTAAGGTGCGGCCATATGACAGTAAGGTTTTTGAACAACTCACACCAGGAAGGACCCCAGTGCTGTACATGATGGTGTTGAGCCTGTGCCCTATGGACAGTGCTTACCTTGTGCTGTCCATGATAGTGTTGAGCCTGTGCCCTATGTTCAGTGCTTACCTTGTGCTGTCCATGATGGTGTTGAGCCTGTGTGCGATGGTCAGCACGGTGCAGTCTGCAAACTGTGTGCGGATGGTGGACTGGATCAGGTCGTCTGTCTCCAGGTCCACGGCGGCTGTGGCCTCGTCCAGAACCAGGATCTTAGACTTCCGCAGCAAGGCACGGGCCAGGCACACCAGCTGCCTCTGACCAACACTACAACAACAACATAAGGGAATGTACTGTCACTCAAGTACATGTATAGCAAGCAAATTACATGTACCTTATGAAGGTACTTCTCCAGACATTGGTAAGCAAAATCTGCTATTGGTTTACATTTTATGGTTGACCTTTTTTTTCTGCAAATCTTACACCTATTACAGGTATCATACTTCAGGCATTTAAAATTAGTGCAAAAAAGCTGCATGAGGAGTAATTTATTTCTTGGGACCTACAAATAGGCTACAATATACATGTATCTGCCCAAAGGGCAATGCATAGATTTTCAGGAGTGCTCTCCACACAGCATTGAATGTTTGTTCCATGAATGTTGATACATAGTGGGATCATGTTGTTTAAACTTGTAAATAGAGTCACTAGAAATATTGACTTTGAAAACCCGGTTTTCAAGCCCTGAGACTGCTTTGGGCAGTTATTGTCACTGAAAACTCAAGAAACTAGAAACTATTAAGCAAGTGTTGTCTTAGAATATGAAGTGTATGGCCAGAAACATTCTAGTTGTTTTGTTTTTTTACTCAATCTTTCATTTAGGTAAATAATACATCTAATAAATCTCCCCATCCGTACCTGAGGTTCTCCCCTCCCTCGGACACCTCGTGCTCCAGCTGTGCCCCCAGCCCCATGACAAAGTTCTTCAGATGAGACAGCTCCAGAGCTGCCCAGATGTCCTGGTCAGAGCAGCTCTCAAACGGGTCAAGGTTCATCCTCAGGGTGCCAGAGAACAGCACTGGGTCCTGTGAAGCAGAAGACATTCTTTGTTAGCTGGAAATTGTTTTTTATTATTATATTATCAATACCAAAGCTACATGTATCATGGCTTTAGGCCAACTCAGGTCAGTTGCAAAAAATGCAATCCTGGCATGCAGCTAGTACATGTATACTAGGCTTTTAAACAGTATTCAGGAACAAATGAACCCTATGTGCATCAGCTAACAACCTGAGGAATGATGGTGATACGGCCGCGCAGGTCGTGCAGGCCGATCTTGGAGATGTTGACCCCGTCGATCTCGATGTCTCCACCCGCCGCCTCGATGATGCGGAAGATGGCGAGGGTCAGGGACGACTTCCCTGCTCCTGTTCTACCCACAATTCCAATCTGCAAAAGACAATTACTATATATAAGGCTGGGCCTTACAAGACTGTTCCCTGTTGTCAAATGGTATGTTCCACCTCGCCCCGATTTCTGGGATGTTCATGTACATGCACCGAGGTACCAGTGGAATGTTCCATTCTTACAGGAGGTAGTTTCTGTGTCAACATTTGATACATAAAGTTGGTACACTTAATTTTTTTTCTGGTGTACTGTAATGTCACAAACACAATGGCACCATGGGTAAAAATCATTCTCTCACATTTTGGTCTAAAATCCAAATGAAAAAGGAAAAAGAAACTTTAAGAACTGCAAAAGGATTACTGCTTAAGAAAATTATGGTAACCCATCTATATGTTAGTAGCTCTGTAAACCCTAATGCTAGTAATGGTTTGTTTTGGTAAATATTCTTTATTTGCTCATGTTCACCTTCTCTCCCCCTCTGATGCTGACATCGATGCCCTTGATGACAAGGTCGAGCCCCTCTCGGTAGCGGGTCTGGTAAGCATTGAAGTTGACCTTGCCCTCACTGGGCCAGTTATCTGGTGGCCTGTGGTCATCCACCACCCAATCAGCCTGCAGGCAACAAACCAAACTGTTAAGTCTGTTCCATTACAGCAATGATTTAGACATAATATGGAAGGTCTGCACCGATGCAAATATATGCCAAAAAGCAATTACTCAAGCAACTGGATATGATTTGGGTCTCTTAGTGTCACTGACAAAGGTAGTGGACGCTACCTGAAATGTCTGACCGTTTCCAAAATCATATCCAGTTGCTTTGAGTAACTGCTTTTTGGCGTATCTTATTACCTGGATGTCTAACCTTCACCGACGCATGTCAAATATAACTTTAAAAAACTTAGATCCAGCAAGTTTGAAAAGATTGAACACTGGAAAAGTACTCACTAATAGATAATCATTACCTCTGTTGGTGTTTCGGCGTATTCCTTGATTCTCTCCACTGCCACAATGTTGGTCTCCAGTTCACTGGTCATGCGCACCATCCAGTTCAGGGTCTGGGTGATCTACACAGTAACAGGGAATTGCATTTCATTATTTCATCAGGAAGTGATCACTGGTAGGTGCTTTTCAAAAAAACAATCCTGGGGGACATACCCCAACGTAAAGTAAAAATTACAACATCATCATTTACGATCACAATGAGAAAGAAGCCGAATAAAATACATCCATTTATGGATAAATACAAATTATAAGTAAACAATTTTACAACTAAATCATGATAACTTACTGATGGGGTAACTTAAAACGTGTTTGCATCTATTTCTGGTTGAACATAAAGAAAACAAACTCTACCTGAAGGGCATATGTGATGGACAGACCCACTATTCCTGGGCTCAGGGTCTCGCGACCAATCACAGCAAACAAGGCGGCGAACAGAACGATGCAGTTCCCAACAAACTCCAGCCTCAGGGCCAGCCATCTGCAAGGGAGTTTTCAATCCATTTACATGTACATTAAAACGTTTGCAACAAATTGACTTCCTAGAATTTCACCAATTGCATAATGACTGATATAGATAATCTATGGCTTGCATCTGAACCAGAAGACTCAGAGTTCAGCTGGCAATCTGTAGCTGCTGACCTGCCTTCCATACTACTACAGCCTTTAGGGTGGCAATTTGTAAACTGTGGTTCTCAGTTTAAGGTATTAGGCCACACTGATTTAAACTAATGGATGAGTGCACAAATTGATTTTTGCCTGTTCTAAAAAAAACAACCTCCTCTGAGGCTCTGACTTGGGTGCCATCCTCCATAGACTTCAGAGGATGTCATCCATAAAATTGTCAGTGTGGCCTTGTAGAAAGCACAAGGATAGAAAGGTAAATTTGTCTAGTCTTCTAGTTAGGACCAATGGGAAAACTGTTCCCACAGTGAACCCACCTGTTGGAGACAATCATGGGGTAGTATGCCACCTGGTTCTCATCGACCTTGGCTTGGTTCTGGAAGAAGAACTGTTGCTCGCGGTCGTACGCACGGATGGTGCTCGTACCCTGTACCGTCTCACCGAAGTGAGAGTAGATGGGGGAACGACTGATGGACTCGATTCTCTTCAACTGACGGGACGTCGCAACGTAAAACCGCTGTGGAGAGTCAAGGTGCATGTAGACAACATGTTTCACAGCCAAGAACAAGAAACCACATGCTACATGTACATGTATTTCTTATGAGTCATATACATCTCATATTTTTCTAACATTTTTTGTTTGAAAATTTGCCAAAGACTAGTGCACACAAATTAGTAAGTTAAGTCCAAATCTAATTCCAACTACCAGTATTCTTTAAAATTTTGAGACAATTGCTATTACAGCCATTGAAACACTAAAGACTATTACATTTATGCATTGATAAGAAGGCAGTCAGGAAATCTTTTTTTAGATAGATAGAAATGCATGGATAAATGTACAGACTTCTAAGTTAATAGAAAGGAGACATTGTAATAGAAGTGAAGAGACAGAAAGATTTCCTGACCAACCTCTCTTCAAGAAAATGGAATAGTCCTTAATTAGCAAAAACAAAAACCTGCCTTCACAGTGGTATAGTCCAAAGGTCTGTACACTGAGTACAGGTGGACATTTTGATACACTTCTTGAAATGTTTTTCATTTCAAACTAAAATTGTTTCTATTCATGAATAAATAAGTGACTAAAATGGTAAGGAAAATATCTGAAATGTGTCTTTAAAAAATAAGGCGTTAGAGAACTTTTGATACAGACCAACAGCTGTGAAGGGAGGTACAATAAAATGTATAATATTATGCAAGCAAGCAGAAGCCAGCAATTTATCGTGATTCATTAAGGCATTTCTTCACAGGAAATCAGTATGAATATAGCAAGTACACGTATCATGGTACATGTATTTGGGAAGGAAGTGGTGGACAGGAATAATCACACCAATAATGTTTAGGCATAAAGGCTGAATACCGAGAAGTACCCAGGTAGTTGTGTATGAAAAAGAGAAAAACAAAATTCTTCGTAACAAATTTACATGGCTTCTACCCTGCTTCTGTTCTAGGAAATCAAAATCCTGCATCTCATAACTGCCAGGAATGATATTTTGGAAAAACTGCACACCAGCGGATATTTGTTTTTACTCCCTAGTTTCCACATTGTAATACGGATGTTAGAAAAAAAGGCTGAATCCTCCCAGGAATGAGAAACAAGTTACTGATTTCCTTTAGCCTCAATGTTATGTAATTGTAGAGTCTGAGGTAGTTTGGTGTTATGTGTTGCCAGTCATTAGAAAAAGGCAGTCTGGTTTAATATGTTGTTAAAAGAGACAGACAGATGGTCTTACGCATGCACAGAAAAAGACAGCGAGTCATCCTAGAAGAGACATTGTTCCAGACATGCACACACTTTAAGACAGGTGGTAGAAAACAGTGCAACAATGAAGTTTAGTAAGTGACTTTAAAAATGACATTTATAAACAAAAACACATAATAAAGTCTGCCACTATTTGAACACAGAAGCCACACTGAGTCTCCCTTCTTTGTAAGTCAAAGAACAACAACTGGATGATATATCAAGAACAACTGGATGTGAGACTTCATGCACAAAATGCATGGAAACTTTTACAGAGCCAGCAAGACTTTTCCTATGACAATTACACTAAAAAACAATGTAACTTCTTTTTAGTATTTAGTTTGTTTGAGACAATGTTTCTAGTACACTGTATATTAGACTGAGTCAAGAGTTATGTAAAAACAACAAACTCAAACAAGGGAGAAGGTTGCTGCTACATTGTAAAATTATAATGTATTTGACTAAGTCAAAGTGAACGCAAACGAGGGAGAAACATTGTACATGTATTAGTCAAGAGTTGTGCAAAACGACAAACTCAAACAAGGGACAATGACTTGTCAGTTATTAGCAGCACAGACTGAGACATGTTTTGGTTGGGGGACTAAAAGATGGACTATGATGGTAAAATTTTGGTCTATTCAGGACTGCAACTTACAAACAAAAAGTCTAACCTATAACCTGCCACTGATCTGTCAAGATGCTACAGAGAGCAAGAGGCAGTCTATAAGCCTTCCTCCTATCTCCCCTTTACAAACATAACACTGCTGCCATGCAGTGTCAATTGGATAGCAACCATGTTATACCAAAGGTATTATGTAACATACAAATATTGACACTACAGACTTGTCTTGGACCAAACTTCATTTTTGCTTTCCACTACACATCTACGAGAAGCAAAATGAACAGTCCTGAGAGACTCAAAATAAATACATAGTCCATCTTTAAAGATTTACACTATCTTGGCCTGGCAACACACAAACTGTAACAGCAAACTGTCATGCAAAAAAAAACAACTTCATCCAGCAGTACCCAGTACCTGTATGAAATAATACAGCAGGGCCAGTGGCACGATAATTGTCAGGAACAGGGGGGTGGAAAAGCTGATGACAAACAGGGTGCTGAGGACCCAGAAGATGCAGGAGAGCCACATGCGGATGATCATGGGGATCACCGCGTCCACGGTATTCACGTCCTGCGAGAAGCGGTTTATGATGCGCCCCATGGGGGTCACGTCGAAAAACTGCATGGGTGAGTGCAGGATATTCAGGAGGCTCCTGTTGTGGAGGTGTAGGGAGGATCGGATCCCGCCATAGGCAGAGCAGAACGCTGCCAGCACTATAGTAACCCCTACAGACAACAGCAGCGAGAATCACAGTGTTAATTGGTTTTCATTCAGCTTTCCCCCAAATCATTCCCTCAATCACAGAACCTTAACCCGGATTATTAGGCGAGCTGGATAAAGATTGTCCTTTGCCCAGTGCTGCATGGAAAAGAAAGAGAACCCCTTATCTGTAAATCAAAAGTGAAGAACTTTAGTGTTAGCAGCATTCTTGGTTAGTCATTGACACTGATTGAAGGTTAGAAGTTTGTGACAACATCTGGAATTTGCTCTTGAGTAACTGTTAAAGTAAAATACAGTCCTTACTAAAAATAGTTTGGTTCAATAAGACTAAGAGATCAAAGCATCAGCCGCCATACAGTACAAAGTGTTACTGGACTGTACACACTCAGATCCAAGTTAACAGGGAGTGCCACAGCTCACACTTGTCTGGTATAATCATATAGAACCAGAAGACAAGCAGGGTAGAAGCCTGAAGGATTCTATATAAGTCTCATTTCTGAAGAGAACAGTAATGTTGCAATCATCCCGATTATCTTTGATTTTAACAAATCGTCACACTGCCTTCAACCTATTCTGAGCCACGAAAAGCAGGTTTTGTGGTTGTGATAAGAAAGAAACCATTTGCAGATGATTCTGCAGTAAATGCTGACTTTTGCTATGATTGATACAAGCTTATGCAAATGTCCAGATCAGCACATTTCAAGAACAGACAGAAGTGTACCTGTATGAAATAGTACAGTATCACGAGCGGCACCAGTGCAGTGAGGAACAAGGGTGTTGCGATGCTCACAACAATAATGATGTTCAAGACTTCAAAGAAACAATAGACCATGTCCGACAAGATCCAGAATATCTTTGTGTCCAATATCTCTACATCCAATGAGAATCGGTTTACGATTCGTCCGAGGGGCGTCACGTCGAAGAAAGTCAGCGGCAAGCGTAATATGTTGGCAAGCATGTCTCTATGGAGGCACATGGCAGCATGTATAACACCCAGTGTGAGTAATGTGTCTCCTGCAAGGGTTAGGAGTCCTGCAAGAAAATAACACCTTTGTTATGATAAGATTACATCATGATAGTCTTTATCTTCTGGAAGTCTAAAGGCCTCTCTCCTGTCAGATTCAGAACCAAGTAAGGAGCCTCCTGCAAGGATTAGGAGTCCTGCAACACAATAAAAGCTTCATTATAATATAATGACATTGGAAACATTAACCCCTGGAAGACTAAGCTCATCTTGGCACAAACATCCAGCCAATGGGGAGGGGGGCTATGAAGAAACAGTACCACCTGTCCTACATGTAAAGATACATGAGAACTAATGCTGACTGGACTATAAGAGAGCATCAGTACACAGTTTATGAGTGCCTGTAGAAGGGTAACTCTATTCTGTGCGTGTATTTTGTACCTACAGTTGAGGGCAAATGACAACAATTACACTGACAAGCATTGCAACTGTCAACAACACTGTGTATAACACAGCCCAAGCTATGGAGGGACTCTACATTCATCTGCTAACAGACATAAGCCAGCCAGCCAAAGTTTGAGGAAGGATAATTTTGTCCCAAGCACTAAACCATGACTGCTTGGAACAGTGGGCAGAGGTGCTGTGAAAGAAGGCACTGGACAAGACGTGGATGTTTCTCTTCAAGTGACTGTTAGTTAGAACTAAAGGACAACTGCAAGGCACATGAGAGGCTGACTTTG